CGCTCACTTTGATCAGAAGAAAACTTCATGGAAACCAACGCGATCAGAATTCCTTGAAGATTGTCAGTATAGTTGTGTCGAATATGGACATGGCGAGTTATGAAATACCAAATACGATCAATGAATGTAAAGTTATCGGATGATATTGATTCATGTTATCCTGGGATTTTTCTTGAATATTGTATAATATTTCGACATCCGGCTCATGAAATGACAAGAGTTGCGATAAAGAGACCATTACCTGATTTTGATTTAACCGGATTTGATTGTGCAAAATCATTTAAGTTTTGTAGCAGTCATCACCCGATCGTTTATGGTTTGATACATATTTCTCAGGAAAACATTGTGTTCTGATAGTGCTATATGCTTAACAAGCTTGATACGGAAGTCTTAACGTCGATGCGTTTAAGTGAAGCTATTATATCGTATCACTCGCAGAAACAAGTTTGCTTACCACAACAAACAAAAACATTCACCGACAGATAAAGATTGGGATAAAATTGATTGTGAAATAAAATTGCAAAAGACCTTGATAGAAAAATAATTGGTAAATTTACTCAATTAGGATAATATGATCATAAACGACATTGTAGAAGATTAATCATTGATGATGCTGAATTGGATTTTATAATTGCTGATATATCGAACAAAGGAACATTTATAAGCAGAAATAATGCTTATTTTTCAGACGAAACCAAACTAGGTACAATTGTGAGTTATATCGATGACCAGTCACCGCAATTTACTCATTTAAGCTCTTCCATGCTAGCTTACGTTTCAATAAATGATAAATAACTTTCCTTGTTAAGTTGTCAGAGATGCTACGGATTCGTTATACATACATAAAAATATGTAGATTTGGTAAATCAGTTACTCGGCAGCGGCGAATCAGGATCGTGGATAGTAAAACAAAAAAGGATACAATAAATTTACGAGATCACAGGTCAAGATATCCTAACGGACTTGATACAATATTTGGATAAAAAAAAGACACAGAAGCAGTTTGGATGGGCTAAAACAAATTCATGAATAATCACATAACTGATCAATCACAAACTTTTGTAAACATAAGCGTCAATGGCGAAGAAACCTCAGGAGAGAAAATCCCGATCAGTTACAGCTGTCAGTTTGACATCATTGACCTTTGTTTCACATTTGTTTCGTGTGAATCTTAATTTGTAGATGTGTTTGCTCAAATCCAATTTGTAGAGATCACCCTCCTTGCTGATAATGTACTGATAATGAATGGTTGATGTATTCATCATGATAGAGGCTGGTTCTAAGAAGATGAAACAAACCTCAGTAATATTCCTGTCCAAGTTTCAATTCTTAATAGTTCCACTTGGGCACTTCCATCGGCAAGGTTATATGACCGCTTCCATGATAAGTGCTCTTCATACTGGGAATATAACTTGCCTGTTGCATTAGATCGAGTGATTTAATGTAACATGCATATGCTTAACTACTATATGATTTTGTAATGTAGTTAAGGTGTAAAAGATTTTGTGCAAGTGCATATAGACAGATGAATGAGTGTGTGTATGTGATTTAGATTTTTAACTTAAGTTTAAAAATATTTCAGTCATATTGCTTCCATGAAAGCAGGATGGCAGTTTATGGCAATGTCTTGCACTGGGGCATCATGCCGCAGACATGTAGTATGATGTCTCACCCAGTCACATTATCCAGACACCAAGCCGACCATTCCTAACACTGAACGCTTAATGCTGAACTCCTAGGGAGTCAGCGATTAGTAATCTTTGTGTATGTCTTCGGTATGACTCGACTGGGATTCGAACCCGCAACTTTCTGTATCCGACTCGAGAGGGGTCCTATAACCGCTAGGCCATTGGAGCAGTCTCAGCAGAGATAATTGGATTACCCAAATTCAACTACTGATATTTTGAAAGAGACACAATGATTGGAAATATTTGACTACTAATTGCCGAGTGGTCTAAAGCGCTATCCGTTACGCATCACTGCCATCGCACCTCTGTCTGCGTGAGTTCGAGTCTAGGAGTCGGCGAATGTGGATATGTGAGAAAGCTTGCCAGTAACTTCTCGTGGGTCAGTGATTCTCTCCGGTGATTTCCCGGTTTCTTCCTCCAACATTAATACTGGCCGCCATTAATAGCCTATTGTGTGCTGAAAAATGGCGTTAATCCCCAAAACAACAACAATTAATTGGTTTATGGACCTACTACTGCCTCCCCTCCACTAAATAGCAATTGTTTAGATTCCATTATCGGTCCGTAAATTTATCGCATGGTCATTATAACTGCGTAAGAATAAATATAGAGATACAAATATTAAAACAAATGCTAGAGAAGTCTTAATTGATATTTGTCTACATTCGCATTCATCTTACCTTCACATTCACCAAAATCTTGACTTGGAACTTCAATAAAGTCAGAATATGCAGAACTCTGAAATGCACTTGTTTGAAGATCTTGATCCACTATGTTGGGTCATTTTCTCTGCAAAAATTGCACAATTTCAATTAGGAGTAAGTCTGGCGTACAAACTTACACAAAGTTATAGCCGTTATTATAACATTTAAATATGTTTAGGCTTATGTTAGTTCGATAGTTCAAAACATAAAGCGATTGTTTCTATTATAAGTACGCTACAATAAATTATAGAACAAATAATATCCTACGCAAACAGAATTATATATTCCTCAAATTCTATGGTCATCAGCTTGTTTTAATTTGTTTTAAATTTTAAGCTGTATTTCAACATACATTTCATGTTCAAGGTTTGCTTATGATGAACGTGTATCAAACTTAGAAGTAGCATACGGTAGAGTTATCTTATCCTCCTACTTAAGAACAAATTCCTGGCTGAAAAGTCGATTGTAATATCCATGACATGTACCAAGGAATCCTAATATTTTTGTGGAAGATCGAAACTCTAGACAAGTTGCGGACATTGCACCTTAATTTAAAATCAGTTTAATAATTCATATGCAAATGTACAACAAACAGAACAGATTCCTGGCCAATCGAAGGAGATATTTTCCCGCAGCCATAATCATCTTAAAGGCAATGCGAATAGTTCCTGGCAATGTATATTCAAACGGAACTAAAAGTTAGCTTTTGTGGAACCCATACAAATGCGGACTTCAAAGAAATCTAAGTTTTATTTACTCCTTTCTATACAATGTAATGGAGATTACATACTTTGCCTTGTGTCAATACCAACCTAAAATAAAGCTTTTATTTTTAGCAACCCCTTATAACTTTGGATAGAATGAAGTTTGCAGTTATGTTCCGTAGATTTCTTTCATGTATAATGCAAGGGAGATAACCTAAATAAGTGATATTAAAGACAAAATTCAAATGTATATACAATGAACACCATACCATAAAGTGCTTTCAGGGTCTTAGTAAACTAGTTTCATGTTCGAGACTAATTCACAACACCCCGAATATCGTAATGTTTGAAATCATGAGTCACATCCTACCCCAGTTTACATGCGTAATACTATGCAATCTTTCAATTTCCAAATTAGTAAGAAATAAAGCTTGAATGACCTCAGCAACTTATGTTTTAAAGCACTCGCTATGCATATGTGAGGAATCTGGTTCGATTTGTGGTACAAAATATGTGATCGTCCGTTTACTGTTTTTTAGGAACTATGCCAATCCATTACTGATGCCCTAAATGGTTTCAGAAAGTGTTCCCAAAACGTTTATGTTAAAGAGAACCAACGAAAATGCAATTATAGTAAAAACATGCAGGTAATATAAGTTTATTTAGATCAGCAAGTATAAAGTTACTAAAAAATCTTGGCCTATCAAATGTCCAGACTTTTTGAGATCAACATATTATCGGACGTCTCTGTTTCTTCAGCACTTGTTTGAAAATTCTCTTTTAGTTCCGTTCCTATACAAAACTTGCGTCCCCTGTATCCAAAACACACGTTGTATGGTCAACCATATGAACGCATATATCATCAATTCTTTTTCACACTAATCCATAATTTCTAAAACTCGTAGTCTCAGAAAACTATTCCTTCAAAAAATCATCATCTTTCTGCATATTTCATTCTCGTCTGGCCATCTCGATTAACTATTAATTATTATTTATTAATAATTATTAATAATTAATAATTAATTATTAATTATTTGATTTAACTATTATCATTACTCTAACTTATTTATTTAAGTATCATCGTTTTCCATTTAATTTTGCATCATCAATTTTCACATCATTCTCTTTCCTTCTCTAAATTGATTAACAAAGCATCTTTTCCTAAATTTAAGTTTGTTTGTTGGCACACATTTTACTTGTCAATATTTCCGGTTACTGCTGACTTTTATAAAGATAATTTTCCATCATTCTATTCATGTTTTGAATTGTCTTTGTTAAGCTATTCATTTTACGCAGCGGTGTGAATGATAGACTCTAGATTTTTGTCCACTATCCACTACACATTTAATTGGAAAACGCATAACCTAATATCACCGCTATAATTATGTTGACCTTTCGTTTCGAAAAGATGCAACATGCTGTGAGAGGAAGGATTATTCCAGTTGTTACTGCTTTCCTGCTGAAGGAGACATCCTCCTCCTTTTGCCACTACTACTACTATTAACAACAATAACAATGATCATTTTCAGCCACAGCAGAAGCAAGATTATCAACATCACCATCCACATCATTATCATATTTATAACATAATTTCATTACGTTGTAATTTAAAATATAATCATAACCAATAGTTATATATGAAAAAAAATGACAACAGTAAAACACCTACACAATGATGTGTGTGTATGTGTGTGTATGTGTGATTGAGACTTTTAAAGTAGCTTTAACAATTTTCCAGTCATAATGTTACGATGCCTGCAATGCGACAGTTTATATATATAGTCATGCCGCAGACATGTAGCATGATGACCCACCTGATCACATTATCCTGCTGACACCAGACTGGCCAGTCCTAACACTAACCTCACAATGATGAGCGCCAAGTACCATTTTAGTCTTTAGTATGACTCGGCTGGGGTCGAACCCTCTACCTCCTGCATCCGAGGCAGACGGTCTGACCACTAGGCCACCGGAGCGGTGGACAAAAGTAGATAAACATAAAAGAATCCCCTGAAGAAACAGCATTGATTATTTTCGTGAAACCAATCATATATCTACTTAAATGAAGGGAGATCTTTGACATTAATTGCAGTCATTATTAATTATAATGTTTACCTTCTAAAACTAAATAGGTATTATAATACAGCTTTGAAAAAATCAATGAATTTAATGGTTTTAATTCTTCTTTGATCACGTTCTAACTGAAAACAAGCTATGGAATAGTATTCATAAATTGATCTTTAAATCCAATTAAATTTGTCACAGGGATATCGAGACAAAAGCTTATTCAGAGTCGAAAGATTAGTACGAAATTGAAAGCGTTTTGTAACCTGAACAATGACTGGTTCATTGTAAATTTAAGTCCATTAACTACATAACATTACAAATATTTTGTATTTTTTAAAAACATATAAATTTAGATCTGCTTTTGTAAGCTTATTGAATCTGCGCATACATGGCCATACTGATCATTTCAGTAATAAATCATGTTGATGCTGTCAATTAGAAGGAAGCAACATGAAAACGTAACGTTACAATCTCTTTATGTATCCAATTTCATTATATTGTACTAACACAATAAAATTATTTTGGTATACTTTACGTTTTATGAAAGAGTTTTTTTCTTCAGTTGAATTAATTCGTGGCTATCACTACAACCACACGTTTTCCTCTTACATAATAAAAAACGATACCGATACAAGCATGCGCATCCTGCCATCTGATAAGACAAATCAGATCCCTTGTTGTGTCCTTGAGCAAGACTGTAATACAATTGTTTTTGCTCTAAGGAAAATAATTTAATTTCTCTATCGTGAATTACCAGATATACCTGGTTCTGAGAAATTGTCCGTGATGCACAAAGTGAAAGGTTCAATTCATGGTTTAATTGGCAATTATCGCGACATAGAGGAGAGAAAATACGGCGATTTGTTGTAGAAATGCAATACAATAAATCCTGCAATTCGCATAAGAAACTTCTGAGTCAGTTTCATACTCGCCGGTTATACCTCAACATGTAATAAAATTGTAAACATATATCACATGGTTTATATCCACGTCTCCGTTTAATAACTGTTGCTTAAAGCATTGACAGATCAAACACAGCATTGTAATTAAATAGCTTTTACAAGAGTTTAATTTTTAACAGAAAATTAATTTCAAGAATGTTTGGTTATAAGTCACAACTCCTTATTTGTTAGTTGAAATACATATTGTGCAGAAATACCCAATAAATGTGTATTGTGCGATAAGGATTAACATGCCGAGTATGTCTTCATTTGCATGAATGCATTCATTTCTTTATTTTCTATTAAATCATTCAACTTTTAAACAAAAGGCCGTTCATCTGTTGGTGTCATTTGTAAAATATTTCGCTAGTTCATCACGCCGCGTGTAACCGTTCTTCATGGTATGATAATATCTTTGGAAATTATGATTTTGATATCTCATGTACTCCAATAAAAAAATGTCTGCGTAATCTGAAACAGTTTAGCCAAGATCCTGGTTCCTGGTTATATCATCGTCAGCTATATTATTTTCTTCATGCGTGTTTTCTTGTTCAAAAATTATGTCATTCCTACTTTATTTCCTTCACTTTGTACAATGCAAATCTAATTAGTATACATGAGGACATATATGTATTAAAGAATGCCTTAATATATTCATATATATATAAAAATATATTATATATATATATATATATATATATATATATATATATATATATATATATATATATATATATATAATATATATATATACATATATATATATATATATATATATATATATATATATATATATATATATATATATATATATATATAATATATATATATATATATATATATATATATATATATATATATATATATATATATAAAGGATTGCAAGAGGAATTAGGTTTGAATCATAGAATGGTTCAAATTAATATATCACAATATTCCATGACTTGTATGATTCTTAAGCCATATTTTAATTTGCTCCATATTACAACACGCTTCTCAAAGATGCAATGTTATCACTTTTCACTTTGTATTGTATATACTGACTTCTGTCAAAAGCATGTTATATATATATATATATATATATATATATATATATACATATATATATACATATATATATACATATATATATATATATGTATATATATATGTATATATATATATATATAATCTGCTTTTATATTATTAAGTAACGAAATGGTGAGTTAAATTCTATGTTAACAATAGTTCTTATTGAATCCCAAGGTATTGCTGATTATGTTTATTCAGATTTTCAAGACATAAAATATGATCTTTTTCTGCTTCCATTTGATATGAGGTAGCAATTGAATGTGCTTTACCTAAGAAAATATTACATTTCACAGCAGCAGATTCGTAAATAACCAATATTGTAAATCGTACCTGAATCCGAATTCCAACAAAGCATTGCTTTAATTAATGTGTATGTGATCGACTGACATACGGAATGTAAAACAATATCCTGAATACTGCACTGAGATAAGAATACTCATTAGTGTTGGTTTCAATTGATAGAAATTTAAATGAATCTTTAATATTTTAACAAAATCTTGAAATTTAAGGCCACTGTGGTTTATCTACATTTAGTTGTCTTGAACTAACTGAAAGACAAACACTTTTATAAGGTCAATAAATGAAATATGCAAAAATATTTCACACAGGACACGCAGAGGAAACGACCATTTTTATTTACATAGCTTGATTGCTTCTTATTTGTTTGCATATGAGATGTGTTGCCGCTCAGTAAGTGATGTTATCAGAAAGTGTGCATATTATCTATAAGAGCCTCCCCAAGGTTTGGAGGCGTAAAGTAAACTATATCGCATATCACATGGACATATTTAATTAGATTGTCGTCAAATGATGAGATTTACAGCCATAGTAATCAATGTTGGTGGTTCTGGAATGTACTCCGTCCCTAGCATGAAAATATTGCTCGTATTAGAAACATCGCGACTAAACTTGGCATTTATATAGTTTACGTGTAAACGTAGGATGACTATATAGATATTGGTGAATGTAAAGGTTGCACATTGTTTACCAAAGAAAAAACATGTTTCAGAATTAGTAACACCACCTTTGTGTAAATCAAAGTTGCTTAAGATTTCTTTATAGGGTTAGTTTATTTATCTATTTCATTTTTATATAAGCACTGACTTGTAAACCTAAATTAAACTTAGAAGGATTAATATGCCTTCTGTGGATGATATATGAATAGAATGCTAGTTTATTATGTTAGTTATTCGAAACATTGCTTCCTGATATGTTTTCAAATTTATATTTCAAAAACGTATTTCTCATGTTTCCTGCATGTGTTAGATAGATGCCATCAGTAATAACAATAACTTTAAGGAACATTCAAAGTACTGTCTTGCTCAAGTTCACATCTCCACAAGAGGCTGGTGACCTTAGAAAGTTACGTATTAGACTAGCTAGTTTATATAAAATGCCAGCTAGTAAAATATTATGTAAATGCTGAATCTAGGGAATGCAAAAGGTCATCTAATAACACTTACCTATAATTCCTATGGTGATCTTTTTCTGAATTATGCACTTAGGCCGTCATTTGGACAAGCTTCGTTTCATGTATTACAGTCATATTTACTAACAAAATACGTGTTTGAATTCAGATACCTTGGATTTCCTAGAGTAACATCAATCGAGACAATTAAATAGGCAAATTTAATTATTCACAAGATAATTTGCTTCAATTCAATACTCACTAGAGTTCCGAGAGTGAAAGAAAAGCATGACATTTCGGTGCTAAATCAGACCATAGGATAAAGTGCACATAAATATATGTGTATATAAGTGTGCAACTAAATTTGACCCAGGGACAGCATGCAACAAACTTTGATGCCACAGGAACGAAGTAACATGGTTAACTAGGCGCAGCCAACTAAATAAGCATCAACACAATTGTGGAGTAACTGTTTGAGCCTGAATTACTGCCATTGCATATCGCTTGCTTATATTGTTTTATGTGTTTGCAGTACATGGTTAGGATAATATTCATAGACTTTGTATGTCCCTACGACTTTATATAGTCGTCATGCGATAGGTCCAACGCTTGACACTTCGCTCAGAATCGCGATTCATGTTCATTCACTCATTTTTTCTTTATTGATTTAATTCATTTTATGAGTTCAATTTTGACCTTATATGCATGCACGTATGTATGTATGTATGTATGTATGTATGTATGTATGTATGTATGTATGTATGTATGTATGTATGTATGTATGTATGTATGTATGTATGTATGTATGTATGTATGTATGTATGTATGTATGTATGTATGTATTTATGTATGTATGTATGTATGTATGTATGTATGTATGTATGTATGTATGTATGTATGTATGTATGTATGTATGTATGTATGTATGTAGGTGATTGTATGTTAGAATATAATCAGCTGTTCTTTCAAACTGATGGAACTAGAAAGAAACAACAGTGCGTTCTATTTATTGATGCCTTTTGTACCCTCCCCTCTACACTGAGTACCGTTTGAGTCACACTCCTTCTTCCATCTGTCTCCCTCTGGACGGAAAAGCACCATCTTATATTTGTGTTGTTTTCTATTTACTTCACTACGTCAGTAGAGATATGTGACACTTGCCCTTTAAAGTGGCATTCACACTAAGCCATATCCCTATCCTCAAACGGAACGTTAACATTGTATTTTTCGTATGGCTTCAAATGTGTATTCACTAGGAATCTCCAGAATCCTGACACAAATCAACATATTTTCTCCTTCTTGTTTACCTGAATAATATTTCTGATCTTAAGCTCATTAAATATTAAATATCACATGCTTTTATCAAAATGAAGTCGTCTTTATTCAGGATAAACTAGGACGATTAAAACAAGCAGTACACAATTGCCAGATGTACACCGCAGAGGTCACTTTTGTATTTAGGCTGTCCGTGTGTACCAGTAAATAGTAT